CTAATGCTCAGTTGGACGATTTGCTTCTTCACGTCAACGTGAGATGGCTGAGAAAAGGTTAAGTGCTTGAAAGATTCTTTGCAATACTTGACCACATAAAAGAACTTCTGTCTCCCATTTATTATGAAGCTGCAAATGACCATTTGGGCTTCCTCTTGGACACAGAAAACCATCGCATTTTTTGCGGATATCTTCAGACATCTAAATTTTTTTAATTTAAAACTATGATGCAAGGGAAAACTTGAGTTTATTTCATATCCATTCTTAAACGAGGTAGCCTAGTTGCCTGGTTTTAACTACATAACGAAGATGATTTCCTGAGGAGAGTTGCAACTATTGGAGAGTTTCTGGGTAACCCTTCCCCCCGGGTATTCCATTGCTGAATGTCCGGCCCATAAAAGTGTAGTAGGTTTTCGAAATGGACCCTCAGGGAATAAAATTGGTGACTCCTGATATAGGCAATTTGATTGCTTATAATATTATAAGAAGTATCTGATGGAGATTTCCACGTATATAATCTCCGTTTGGGTAGTTCAAAAAAGGTATTCATTATACATATATTATATTCTTTGCAAAAATCTGTGAAATAGTCTCCCCTTGCATTTCTATCGTCCGGTCAAAAATCTCCAATAATGTTACTTTATTTACCTTTTTCCATTTTAATGTCACCCATAAGAATAATAAGATCTCTAGTCTTGAGTTGGTCAGTTACAGTTTTTACATCTAAAACTTTTTACATTTGCGTAAAACTCTTAAGTTTTTCTAGTTCATTCATTATCTGTTGGCGCTACAGCCCTTCGTGAGCCTTGGCCTGCTTCAAAACATTCTTCCATCTTTCCCTATCGAGTGTCTGTCTTCTCCAGCCCCTCACTCCAATCTCCCTCAGATCTTCCTGTACATTGTCCAGATATATGAGTTTAGGTCTCCCCCTTCTTCTTCTTCCGACCGGCCTGTTTAGCATAGTTATTTTAGTGGGATCACTCTCATCCATCCGCATAACGTGACCCACCCACCTTAGGCGGTTTATTTTGATGGTCTTCACAATATCTGCATCGCCAAAAAGTCTATATGAGTTCTCTAGTTCATTCATTTTTATATAATCTGGCTCTACAATTGTGGTTTTGCTTGGCCCGTCGTTCGCCAGACGTAATTGACTGAAGTATGTGCTACTTGAGTTATCCAAACCTTTTGTTAAGCTAACTTCAGTTTTATTTGCGTTTGGGTGAACGTCGTGTTTCATTCTTACCAAATAAAATCATCCTAGTATAAACCTCCTCGTTGGTAGAGTTGGGAATCCATATTCGTTGGATCAGAAATACGAGCACTTTTTAGAGCACGTACTTTGAATTGGCAAATAGTGATTGCTAATTGTACAGGATGTACCCGATTGATAATGTGTGCCATATTCGAGCTTTGGCCACTCTCTTTGGGATCCTTGAGTCAGCGCACCAGTACAGTTACTAACCAGACGGGGTTTTCGAACTCCTTTAAGGCTATACATCCTTCCAGATTACTGCAAGCCTTAGTTTTTAGAGTAAAGTAGATTCCAAATTATCTAAATGGTGAGTAAATTATTGTTTCCTACTCATCCAGTTACTCTAAACTTTCAACTAAAATTTTGAAAGCTCAATTCTATAATGAACTATCTTGTTTGCTTTCCTTTTGTAAAACTACTACTACAGATAAAAATCGACTATTTTAGTGAAAAACCAAAAACGGTTCAACGACAAACAAACAAAGTAAAACGCCACCATAATCAAAAAGACTAACTTATATAGCTGATGCTAACTTATAAAGCAAATAGATAAATTTGTATCTTATATCTTAAAAAAAATTATATGGTGTAACCGACACATAAACTATGAGATGAACTCAAGAATATATTATATCAGTATATGACCAATAATGATATACGTATCAGAAATAATACCTGACACAGCCAAAACACAGAAAATGTTGGAAACAAGATAAATAAGAATAATCAGAAGGATTCTTATTAACAAACGATTTAGAAACTCTATAACATCCGTTAAAGCGTACCCGGGATCCGACATACATTCGGACCACAATCCACTTATCGCCAAAATGAAACTTAGTGTAAAGAATGTTCAAAGTCCAAAAATTACGAAGTACGATATTAACCAACTGAAAAATAAAACAGTAAAGGAAAAGGTACAAAAACGCCTAAAAGAAAAAACGTGGGCTCGTACAGAAAAACCATGGGCTCGTACAGCAATAGATAACACAGATGTAGAATTAGAAAATTTGCACAAAATAAGTCAAGAAATAACAGAGAAATACTTAAAACCTGAAAGAACAAAGAAAAAAGAATGGATGACGGAGGAATGTATGATGGAAGACAGAAGAAACGCTAAAGATAATAAGAATTACTACAATAACATAAATAACGAAATAAAAAGAGCTATTAAAATAGCAAAAGAAAATTGGTTTAGCTCGAAGTGTACAGAGATAGAGTCATTACAACAAAAACATGATTCGTTTAACCTCCATAAAAAGATTAAGGAAGCGGCAGGCTTATATAAACTCAAGAACACTAGATTCCTGATATTAGGGAAACATAGTACTGGAAATAGAGCATAAAAGGAATATTTGGTTTAAATACGTGGAAAAACTTTTGAAGATGTACGAAGTAACACTGGTATTACAACAAACACCAATTGCAAATCTGGACCACCATTTACAGTCGAAGAAGTAAAATATGCCATCAAAAACACCAAAGATGGTAAAGCAGTAGGCCCTGATAATTTTCACTCAGAATTCTTAAAACTTATGGTCTATGATGGCATAAAATGGTTAACAGATATATTTAACAATATATATGATACAGGCATAATTCCCCAAAAATGGTTAGTGTCAACTTTTATAAATCTTCCAAAAAAACTCAATGCGAGAAAGTGCGAAGACTATAGAATTATAAGCCTTATGAGCCATTTACTTAAAACATTTCTAAAGGTCATTCACAAAAGAATATATATGAAATCTGAAGAACAACTAACAAGAACACAATTCGGATTTCGTGATGCTCTGGGAACACGGGAGGCCCTTTTTGCTATACAGGTGTTATTTCAGAGATGCAGGGATGTGAATTGTGACATACGTATGCATAATTACCAGAAGGCATTTGACAGAGTAAAACATGACAAATTTAAAGCTTCTAATGCAAGAAATTGTAATTGACAACAAAGATCTTAGAATTATCAGAAATATTTACTACAATCAAACGGCCAAAATGAAAATAGAAGACCAGTTAAAATTGCAATAGAGCGTGGAGTACGACAGGGCTATATTTTGTCTCCATTATTGTTCAATATTTATTCTGAATGGGTATTTAAGGAAGCTTTAGACGGTTGTGCGAAAGGAATACTAATAAACGGTGAATGGTTGAATAACATTAGATACGCAGATGAGACTATAGTCTTTGCCGATAATCTGAATGACTTACAGGTATTAACAAATCGCATAACAGAAGTCAGCAATAGATACGGACTAGTTCTTAACATAAAGAAAACCAAATTTATGACAATTAGTAAAAAACCAATAATAAACGCTCAACTTACAATCAATCAACAGAATATCGAAAGAGTCGAGCAATATGCATATCTAGGCACCAATTTAAATAGCCAATGGGACCACTCAACAGAAATTAAACAGCGAATAATAAAAGCAAAAGCAGCATTCGTTAGAATGAGAACCATTTTCAACAGTCGAGACATATCATTAAAACAAAATGCTGTCTATTGAACTGCTACATATTCACAGTTCTGCTCTACGGAATGGAAGCGTGGACACTGACTGTTGCATCTATGAATCGGCTCGAAGCTTTCGAAATGTAGTGTTATAGGCGCATCTTACGTATATCCTGGGTTGACAGAGTTACTAATGTGGAGGTCCTGCGTAGAATGGGGAAATAATGTGAAATTCTCATGACCGTCAAAACTAAAAAGTTGGAATATCTAGGACATGTAATGAGAAATCAAGAACATTACGGCCTTCTCCAGCTGATTCTCCAAGGGAAGGTAAATGGTAAGAGAGGACCGGGAAGAAGACGCATTTCCTGGCTTCAAAATTTACGAAAGTGGTATAACACGACTACTACTGAACTGTTCCGCGCTGCAGTAAACAAAGTAAAGATAGAAGTGATGATCGCCAAGATCCGGAAGGGATAGGCACTTTAAGAAGAAGAAATCAAAAAGATCACAGAATATTGAATAAGAAGTGACAAGATCAAAATTGTAATATACAAAGTATAAATGAGTAAACACTAACCAGAGAAAAAGAATGGAACAATCACATTAGTAGAATCGCGGACACAAGGGTCTTTAAAATAGCAAGGGACAAATCATCCGGTGGTAGAAGTATTGGCCAACCAAGCAATAGATAGAGCGACTATATTCCACAGAGACAGCAAGCCCCTAACGATACGTTAAATTGCTTATATAAAGGAATTAGAAGAAGAAAGAATCATGAAAAAGATATTTTCCATTATTCAGTAGCATTTCTAAGATATAAGTGTTGATTTGTAATTTTTTATCTAGAAAAAAATTTGACAGCGATGGTCACCCTTGTTTTAGAATAGACACCATATTACAAATATACAAACCAAGTAACAAATTTCCGAGTGTTTAGGAACGAAGGAGAAAAAGAAAATCATCAATCAGAAAATTCCAGGGCAGTAGTAAAAAAATAAATTACATTGTAAGTTAGTCAAAAGTAAAGTAGAACGATGACGAATGTCTAATGAAGATGTTGCACCATCAGAATAAAATTAACAATAAAAACAAGTATTTTTCTATGTACGTTTTTTAATTTTTACTCTAATTTTTTATCTTTAAATTAAAATACAAATTTACACATGTCCTTAATCACCTATTTATTAAAAAACGTTTTAAAACACTTTTTATCTCATGCAATACATGAAATCAACCATACATAACCCAATCTAATTCAATCGAACAACCATCTTACAACAAAAAACTTACCAACATCTTCCTGTTTATATTTTTGAATAATCTCAGCCAGCTCCATGTTCCCAGCGATGACGGCTACTTGACAAGGTGTCTGGTTAGCGTAGTTCAGAGCTTGCCTGTCCGCACCTCGGAACAGCAACTGTCGAGCACATGATTCTTGGCCGTTGACTGCGCAAACGTGGAGCGGGGTATTCCCAGACGCGTTTTTGGCGTTCATGTCAGCTCCGTAAAAGAGGAGGTGTTCGAGATGAGCTTGGAGACCAGTTCGACAAGCCTGAAAATATTAATATTTATTTATTTACAATTCAATTTCAAATACAAATAAAGAATCCTATTTGTCAAACAATAATCAAAACAATAAACAGCAATGTCATATAAATAACTATATCATAAAAATAAATACATTGAAAACAAAAATATGGAATCTATAAATCATTTAAAGCTAGTTGAATATTATGCTTAAAACTAGCAACGATATTCCAGTAAAACCAACACCCTCATCATGAATCTATTGACAAGGCGGGAAAAACGTGATATGAAACATCAAACAAGAAAGTATTTCTGGTAACCCTATTAGGTATTTTAAAGGATAACAGCTCAAGCAGGAGAGGGCATTAACTGTGGCCAGATGACAGCTTGAAAAAGAAGTACTGCACCTGACATTATCCTTCGATTTTCCATTGGATAAAGATATGTTTACGAATGTTTACGAATGCTTTCTACAAAGACAGAGAACACGCATGTAGAAGACAAGTGGCAAGATTTAAAAGACGCCATAATAAAACCTGCCCAAAAAATGCTTACCAAAGAGAAACAGAAAAAAGGACGAGAATGGATAACAGAAAAAATTTTAGGTCTCATGGAAGAGCGAAGACAGTTAAAGGGAAAATGCAGCCAAAAATATAATGAAGTAAACAAACAAATCAGAAAAGAAATAAGAACTGCAAAGGAAAATTCTTATACAAGAAAATGCGAGGAAATCGAAGAACTACATCTCAAACATGACACTTTTAACTTACATAAAAAGATAAAGGAACTGACAGGTACACAAAAACGAAAACATCCCAGTCTCCTATGCAACGCAAATGGTGAAATAATAGCCGATCTACAAGAAAAGCTTAGGACCTGGAAGAACTATGTAGAAGAATTGTTCGACGATGAAAGACAAGAACCTAATATAGATAACTTGCAAGGCGACGAAGGACCAGAAATAACTAAAGAAGAACTATTATACGCTATAAAAATAATGGAAAATGGTAAATCACTGGGTCCAGATGGGCTCACATCAGAACTTCTTAAGCTTGTGGAAGGCGAATCAGTGAATATTCTACTCGACCTTTTTAACTGCATCTACAAAAGAGGAGAAATACCAAAGGAATGGCTACTTTCAACCTTTGTAACCTTACCAAAAAAGGCAAATGCAAAACAGTGCACTGACTACCGCACTATAAGCTTAATGGGGCATACATTAAAAGTATTCATCAAAGTAATCCACTCAAGAATTAACAGAAAACTAGATGCAGATATTAGTAATACTCAATTCGGATTTCGGAACGGGCTTGGAACAAGAGAAGCACTATTTGCACTTAACGTCATATGCCAAAGATGTCTAGATATAAACCAAGATATATATATATATATATATATATATTATATATATATATATATATATGTGTGCTTTATTGATTACAACAAAGCGTTTGATAAAGTTCGTCACAATCACTTAATGAAACTGCTAGTAGAAAAAAACTTGGATAAAAGGGACATTAGAATTATCTCTAAGATTTACTATAACCAGAAAGCAAATATCCAAATAGAGCAAGAGACAACGGAGGAAATCGAGATCAAGAAAGGCGTAAGACAGGGTTGTATACTCTCACCGACCTTATTCAATCTATACTCCGAAAACATTATAAACACAGCACTTTCGGATCAAAATATAGATATTAAGATAAATGGCATCCGAATAAACAACTTGAGATATGCCGATGACACGGTACTAATCGCAGAAACTTAACAAAATAGTAGAATGCAGATAAGAACACGGATTATCACTTAACATAAGCAAAACAAAAATAATGCTAATATCTAAATCACCACAAAACTTCCCTGACATAACCGTGCATGATCAAAGAATCGAACGTGTAAGAAGATATAATTACCTGGGAACTATTATCAACGAAAATAATGATTGCCCTGAAGAAATCAGAACCAGAATAGAGAAAGCAAGAGCCACATTTACTAAATTGAAAAAGGTGTTCTGCGGAAGAGATCTAAGTCTAAAACTTAAAATTCGCCTTTTGAGATGTTACGTTATGTCAGTTCTCCTCTACGGGATGGAAACATGGACATTGAAAAAGATCGATACCAAAAAGATAGAAGAAGCATTTGAGTTGTGGATGTATCGTAGCATATTAAGAATACCCTGGACAGAGAAAGTAACAAATGTGGAGGTTTTGCGGAGAGTGCGGAAAGAGAAAGAGCTGATACTTACTGTTAAAAAGCGCAAACTACAATATTTGGGACATGTTATGAGGGGAGATAAATACCAGTTGCTGCAATTGATTATACAGGGAAAGATAATGGGAAAGAGATCTATAGGAAGAAGAAGGCATTCATGGTTGAAAAACTTGAGAGAATGGTACAATTGCACCAATTACCAACTGTTTAGATCTGCAGCATCAAAAATACGCATAGCTTTGATAATAGCCAAACTTCGGAACGAAGACGGCACTTGAAGAAGAAGAAAGATATGTTAGATTAGGATATCTTCACAAGAGTAAATATACAAAGGTCCGTTCAATTTGTATGATATAAACCTTAGACATTTAGACTGAACTTTTTCAATAGCATTAAGATGGATTTGGTCGAACAAAGACATCGTACGATATCTTTGTCGAATTAATAGATAGATCCTTAAATCCCTCTATATCTTGACAATGTAATGCAGTAACATTTACCAATATTTAAACTGATTCCATTAGCTATTGACCAATTGTGAAGATCGGCTATAGCCTTATTCAAATTTATAGTCATTTACGCTGTTTTCTCTTGCATATCATTTAAAATAATCTGCAAATAATAAAAAATACTGAAAACTGAAAATCCAAACCAATGTTGGATATAAACAAATTAAAAATCAAGGGTCCAAGGTAAGATTCCTGAGCCAGGGATGAGCCTGAGCACCAAACTGAGCTGAAATTGGATTATACTTGTGCTCCCTGATAACCAACAATGGCGATTGCTCCTCAGAAATTAAGCTTAGACTAACAATACTAAGCTCAGGTTGTACAATGCCCTTATTGTTCTCATTACTATATACGCAGCTGAAATGTGGACTCTCAAAAAAAATTGATATGTCTAAGGTCAAAGCCTTCGAAAAGTGGATTTATAGAAGAATTTTACGCATGTCATGAACAGAACATTTGACACTGAACATTGACAGAACCAACATGTCAATTCTAGAAGAGCTTTATATAAAAGACTAATTTACTTCGGCTACATAGCTAGATGAACAAAGATTATGGAAATATTGGTAGTAGAAAAAAAGGTAGAAGGCTGAAAACCAAGAGAAACATCCCCAAGACGATGGGAAGACACAGAATCGTAGCCAATGAAGGCGGCTAGCCAATAATATATAGAGTCTCATTACTCTCTGATAGGGGCTTAAGGAATAAGGAGGAGGAGGAAGAAATCAAGTAGTTGTAAGGAATTAAACACAGGAAACTTGAATAATCTCTTCATATTCAAGATGCAGTAAGACACACCTATGCCACTGACCTGGTGTACTTTAACCTTGACCAATAAAGGATATATTCTAAAAGGACTAACCTATAAAGTAAAGTCAGTAATAATTTCTAAATTCAGAACAAACTGCTTATCAGTCGCTATGTGGGGTCGCAAGTTGCGATCTACCTCAATTGTAAACACGTTAGAAGTTTGTATTAAAAAGTGAAAAATAATATCTGTGTTATCTATCAAAAAGAAAATATAAATAAAAGATAAAAACCGTAAATTCAAATGAAACAAAAAAGTATCCATCTCCATACTGGTGTTATTTCTTTAATATGAAACCTGCTGTACCTGTATCAAAAAGTCGCTGTGTCGGCAGTGGAAGAAGGGAATTCGACCCAATTTGACACAGTAGCCCAAAAAAATTATTTAGATCTTTAAAGTGTAATCTAAAAAGTTAACTATGGCCACTAAAAAGAAGAAAACTTAGTATAGTTTGTGTATTTACCTGGTGCACTTCCTGCCAACCTTGCGCATCCTGGGCTCCTGTGGTAGCATGATCGTGTAGTAAAGTTTCTGTAAAAGTTGGATCTACAACTAAGGTAATGGTGTAGTAAAGGGGAGTCAGTCCTTTATTGTCTTTATAATTCGGTGAGGCTCCTAATTCTAACAGAGTTTTTAAGGCTTCTAAACTTCGATGTTCTACGGAACGGTGTAAAGCTGTCGAACCGTCTTTTTTCCTATAGTCCAGTAATGCACCACCGTTTACTAATGCCATTAGGACTTTTGCTGGCTTCTTTATGCCTGTTGCTATGGTCAGTGGAGTTTCTAGAAAAAAAATATAATAAAAAAATTATATTACTGCTGTAGCAAATTCTTTTTCATATCTGAAAGTGCATATAGGCTCCTTAAACATTATTGAAAGATAGGATATAGTGAACTTATTTACAATATTTACAAAAATACCACCATTTGCCCAACCAATAAAAATGAAACGTGTGATAAGGCAAGAAGATACATTGTCACCGAAATTATTCATACCGGCGTTAGAGTATGTCTTTAAGATGGTCAATTGGGACCACAAAGAAGTAACAATAGATGAAGAAAAGTTTAACCATCTCCGTTTTGCAGATGACATTGTCCTTATCACAGATAATCTAGGAGAAGCCACAGATGTGTTAAATGAATTGAACTTGGCATGTTCGAAGGTGGGCCTCAAAATGAACTTGACCAAAACTAATTTTATGACAAACATGGTCCCCAATAACCATTTAACTATTCAAGACAAAGTGGTAGAACTGGTCGCAAATATACGTATTTGGGTCATGAAATAAGAATCAGCAGGGATAACAAAACATGCAAAATCAAAAAAAGAATTACTTTAGCATGGGCAGCCTTTGGAAAACTGCGAGACATACTTGGGGTCAACATACCAATTAGCCTGAAAAAGAAAACAAGCCTGAACAAGAAGTAGAGAAGGCAGTCCTACAAAACTCATGATATTGGGTTGATAGGAATATCCCTTGATAGGGATCAACTTGTTACAGAAAGATCCTTAAAGGAGAGCTTCCTCATAAAGACCTTTTTTGCTCAGAATGAGCCAAAAAGCCCAAAAAATATTTTTCGAAGCAAAAAGATATTTTGTATTTTGTTTAAAAATATTATTGAACAATTTCTAACCAAAAATTTCGTTGAACACCCTTCAGATTCGTTTAAATGGGATATTTTTAAACAAGAATCCGCAAAGAAATCTAATCAGAAACACCTTTTCTACGGGAGCGGCCTCACAAAATGGACTATTTGTAAAGTGCGCATTTAAAACAAGTCTAAACTGCTCTACTGTAATATGAAAGTTTAATAAAAGTTATAAAACTCACCTCCGGTTTCCTGGCAGTGGAAATTGGGATCTAAACCCTTGGAGCATATTTTGGTAATTTTTTCCACCTGCCCGTTTTGAACGTAGTCTATAAAACGACGTAGATTTGCTCTTGTATGCAGACTTTTTAGTTGCTTTTCATCGAGCGACATCATTTTGTAGACTCTTCTCTTGTATTTTAGCTAAAAAGTAAAATAATAAATACATCAACTTAGTAACAGTGACTATTACATAAAAGTATAAAAAAAATTGTAATTTAACTGGTAGGATAGAACTCGAAAAATTGATTGAATAGTATATCACTGAAGCGAGCTTTTTATTAACTACAGCTTAACAATAATTACTCTTTATTTTGAGATTAGCACTGGGTGCCTCCAGAATTAGTCCTATTAGTAGCTTACAAGTTTTAGCGACAGAACCACCTCTTTATATTAAACACCAAACAACATCCAGTATTCTCCCAAATTTGCCATCCTAGTATTGGTTCTACAAAACTAAAAATAGTACTCCCCTTATAGAACCAATAAAATCTTCTTACTTTGATATGGATAAGCTAAATTGATCTCTAGAAGTCAAATTTTTCTCCATGGACAATCCAATTACTTACCATTGATTTAACCCTCACAAAATACCCCAAATCAACTACAAATCCGATTTTCATTAAACACTTGTACTCCGAAGTGATATCTCATTACCCTAATTATCTCCAAATTTTCAGTGATGCCTCTAAAGCTCATGACGCACATGCTGCTGCATACTAATGTAAATACACTACTCACACTATATCCATACCTATAAACTGCTGCATCCATACAGGAGAAACCACAGGCAATTTGAAAACCTTAATTTTATTCAAACTGCGTAGTGAGAATGTGTCATCATCACTGACTCATTAAGTGCTCTATTACGTGTAAAACAAATATACCCTACAAATCCAATATTCCGGACTATAAAAAATGAGATAAATATAATTCAATCACATCGAAAAGAAGTAGCATTTATCTGGGTACCGCCGCATGTAGGAATCGCTGGAAATAATAAAGTGGACAGCCTAGCAAACACAAGTCGAATAAACTCACAATACACAACCAAATCAAGAAATTACCAATACTCCGATCTCAAAAACCTAATTAAAGACCACTCTATGAACATATGGCAAGACTACTGGAAAGATTCAGGAACCAAACTATATGAGATTTATCCCTATGTGAAGACTATCTTGAATAATCTATCCAATAGAAAGGACCAAGTATGTAATAATTAACCGACTAAGAATTGGACACACTGCACTGACCCATAAATTCTAAATCAATAAAGGATCTTCTTCAACCTGCAGAAACTGTTCTCTCCCATTGATGGTGAAGCATATTCTGATTGACTACCAGTAACACGAAGAAACAAGAAAAAACAAGAAGAAATATGACATCTCATCTCAGATGACATCAAAACCACTTAAACCATAAACACTGACTATATCATAAATTATTTCAAAGATTTACGTTTATATACATTTATTTAATGTAAATAAAATGAATTATCCAAAGCTATTATAATCCCAATTTATAAACAACACAATCCAAAAAATTGTCCCACATCTTACCGTCCTATTTCCCTCACCTGTAGCATGTGTAAACTTCTCGAGAAGATTTTAAATTACAAGCTTACATGGTATTTAGAAAATGAAAATCTCCTGATCACAGTTCAAAGTGGTTTTCGACGAGGAAGATCTGCTAACGACAACTTAGTGGCACTTGAGTCAACCATTCATGATGCATTCTTACAAGATCAGAAAGTTATAACAGTCTGTTTTGATGTGAATAAAGCTTTCGACACAACATGGAGATACCTCATATTAAAACAACTTGATAAATGGGGAATTCAAGGACATATGCTTGCGTTTATAAAAAACTTTCTGAATAAAAGGGAAATACAAGTAAGAGTAAATGGATACACCTCTACCACTAAAATACTCGACAACGGTGTTCCACAAGGTTCTATTTTAATCCCAACTTTATTTTTAATTGCATTTAACGATGTAATAAATACAACTAAGCCTCCTATAAAAGCAAACTTATACGCTGATGATTTATTTGTGTATATTAAATGCAAAAATATTACATCTGGGGCTAAAATACTACAGAACCTTCTATACAAAATCGAAGAATGGTCTTTCAAAACAGGCTTCCTCTTTTCAACTAATAAGACACATTACACAGTTTTCAGCAAACGCAAGAATACCATTCCTGTTTCGATAATATTTAACGGTCAAAATATATCTCATTCAGAGGAATCGAATTTTTTGGGCCTAACGTTTGATTACAAATTAAACTGGAAAGCACACATTACGACTTTAGAACTAACTTGTCAAAATAGAATAGACTTGCTGAAAATTCTATCCAATAATATATGGGGAGCTGATTCTAGTATTCTGCTTAACCTCTACAAATCAATTATTCGCAGTAAACTAGACTACGGTGCAATATGCTACGATACAGCAAATAAAACGTTTCTAAAAAACCTTAACACAATTCAAACAACATCTCTAAGATTAGCCGTCGGTGCCTTCAGAACCAGTCCTGTAAGCAGCTTACAAGTAATATCAAGAGAACCTCCTCTATATCTAAGACGACATCTACTTAGTTTAAATTATGCAGCAAGAATATCTTCCAATAAAAAGCACCCATTATATCCTGAGATTATTAACACACCTACATTCAATTTGTATAGAAAAAACAATATAAAGACAAACCCTTTAGGGAAAGAATCAATCAAAAAGGATTCAATTGCAATGAATTCAAATTATCCATAACTACAAAATTAGACTTTCCTCCATGGCTTACCCCCTTACCTATCACCGATTTACAGTACCCAAAAAATACCACAAATCTTAACCTTATCATTAACGCATTCAAAGAAATTATGGAGAAGTATCCAAATTACCACATAATATACACAGATGCATGAAAAACTGAAAGTGGCCATGCTGCAGCCTTCACAAATAAAAATTACAAATATGCCATTAGAATTCCACAGCATTGCAGCATTTACACCGGAGAAACCAAAGCGATATTAGAAGCTATCAAAAATCCTCTTCAACGACTGAAAATAATATTTTAATCATCACAGATTCACTCAGCGCAATTCATGGAATTAATCAACTTTACCCTAGCCATCCTATTGCACAAAATATAAAAAATGAACTTAATGCACTACACCATATAAATAAAAAGGTTACATTTATCTGGATACCTTCACACATTGGCATTAAAGGCAACGAGGAAGTTGATCGATTAGCATTAAAATCCATCAAAAATGAAAATGTTCCAGAAATTACTAAATATCCCCACACCGACCATAAACGACAGTCCATGAATCATATAATAAATTTATGGCAAGCAACCTGGGATGCAACAGACTCTAAGTTGAAAACAATAAAGCCTCGAGTAGACACCAGCCTACCACAACAAGGAAAAAGAAGAGATCAAGTAATCGTAAATCGTCTTCGAATCGGCCACACAATACTAACACACCAACACCTTCTAAATAAAGAACCAGCTCCAATTTGTACCTACTGCTCTACTCAACTCACGGTGAAGCATCTGATAGTCGACTGTCCGCAGTTACAACCTCAGAGAACATGCCGAGGAATTAGTGGAAACCTGAGAAGTGCACTTACGACAAATATCTCGGATTTATTGCAGTTTCTAAAAGACATAAACATTTATAATAAACTTTAATTTAACAAATTGTACTACTGTGTATGTCCCCCCCCCACTAATAACCCTTGGTGGTTGATGTGGGTTTTTGTATGTTTAAATAAAAAAAAAATGAATTATTGTGTACGTTACTCCACTAATAACCCTGCGTGATTAATGTGGATTATATGTTTTTTTTCTAAATTAAAAATAACCCTTTATTTTTTGGTGGTAGTTAGTTTTTACTCTTCAATTTTGAACACCTGTCTTATATGTCATGTTTCGGTGTATCCTGTAATTTTTTCTGAGTAAAAAAATTATTTTTTATTGTGCATTTCTTTTCTATTAATATCATCTTTCTTCATCTTTATTAAATATTCCAAATCTTTTAAATGTGATGTTAAAATATTTTAAATAAGTATATTAGTCCAATTGAAAATAATTTTCAGAGAAGCAAATATTTTGTTTGTGAGAAGATATAACAGTAAACAAAAAAAAGAAATCGCCAACGAAATAGAAAAGTAACAAGAGCGAAAGATCTATGGAGGTAACTAGCTAAAGTTATTTGATTGATGGAAGCAGGTCTTTGCAGCAGGAGGCTGCATGGAAGTAGCAGTAGCAAGAAACAACGATAAAATAGTATGTACTCACAACACAAATAAAAAATGTGTAGGATAGATATTTTGTAGTTAAATGCATAAAAAATTTAAAATTACTCACCTCTAGATATCCCACTGGACCATTAAAAGGATAATCTCCAAGGCGTCGTTCCTCGTCCAGGAACTTTCCTGCTCTGCCATTATCCGGAGGACAAAAAAGGCCATAATTGAAGCTTTCTTTCAGTTCCTAAAATATAAAATACTAAATGAGCCATTAAGGTTTAAATATTTCATTTTCCTACCGCAATATACGGGTAATCTTTTAGCAGTTCAGGTTCTCGCACCAGTTCAAATAAAAAAACGTGCATCTCGATCAAATGATTAAACTATAACTAGAACGACCACGTGAGTTCATTACCGAAATATTTAAGTTATTATTTATAATAGGTACGTGCTAGTGTTGATAACATTTATTAAATAATAGTTTTTTAATTATTTCGGGATTACCAGCTATGAATGGTTTTATTTTGAAATTGTGTACAAGCAGATGGGAAATATTTGTTTCACAAAACAAATATTTTGTCAGGTTTACGTAATTATTTTGATATAAAAGCATGCAGTCCTTTGTTGGTTGGAATATCCATCTATTTCGTTTGACATATTTGACAAGGTATTTTAAATAGATGAATTCATTCATACAAGGGTTATTAAAACCAATAAAGGTAAAAATAACCCGAGAAAACTATGTTTATTTTACACGGTGCGAAATATAAGGTTATGTTGGTTGTTTTAGATGAGGTTCTCTATAGAATTGTACATCTATTTAAATAAAGTCGTCTACAAAAAACCAAGACAGAATACCTCAATGAGTTGTTTGAATATAATAGAAGAGAACAGATTGAAGTAGAAGTAGATGATGTATTGTAATGATATTAAAAAAGAAAATTACAATGGCATTAAAAAACTTATTTAATAGAATAAAGACTTATTTAACCGGACCTGTACCAAAACAGTGATTACTTCTCGACTTTTTCACTCTAATCTATCTAATTAGCCTTCTTCCGTCCATCTTTGGACATAGGCCTTCCCAATCCTTTTCCATTCTTCTCTGTCTGTCGCTACAGTCATCCACCTAGAGCCCACGTGCTTCTTGATATCATCTGCTCATCTTATTTGGGGCCTTCCTCTGCTTCGTTTATATTCTCACGGTCTCCAACTTATAAGAATTTTGTTCCATCGGTCTTCTTTTTGTCTTATATTGTGTCCGGCAAATCTCCATTTCAATTTTGCAACTTCTTGTCTACCATCCCTCACTTTTGTTTTCTCTCTTATCCACTCGTTTCTCTTTTTATCCACTAGTCTTATGTGCATTTGTCTTTCCATTGCTCTTTGAGTTTTTATGATTTTGTCCATATTTGCTTTTGTAAATGTCCACGTTTGGGAACCATAAGTAAGAACAGAGAGTACGCATTGATTGTAGACTTTGGTCTTAAGATGCTGTGGATATATTTGTTTTTAAGATTGTAGCTTAGTTTGCGAAATGCCGCCCATGCCAGTCTAAGTTGCCTCTTTATCTCTGCTGTTTGGTTCTCTTTGTTAAGTTTTATAGTTTGACCAAGATATATATATAATCCTAAACTTGTTCTATTTTGTCTTGTTCGATTCTCATTGTGATATCTTCATATGTATTTGTTATGGTTTTGATCTTGCTGTAATTCATATTAAGGTCTATCTTTCCAGCTTCTACGTCCAGTTCTTTCATCATTTCAAATAATTCTTCTTTTTTATCAGTTATCAATACGATATCATCAGCGCACCTTAGATAGTTCAAGCGTTGTCCACAAATATTTATACCTTTTTCTTCCCATTCTAATCTTTTTTAAAAGTATCTTGAATAGCCTGATTGAAAAGTTTCGGTGATATTGTATTACCCTGTCTCACGCCTTTATTTATTTGTATTGATTTTGTTCCTTCATATACTTTAATTGTTGTTTTAGCTTCCTTATATATATATTGGCTATTAATTCCGTATATCTGTGGTCAATTCTGCTGTTAATCAAAGAACTTTTCACTGCCCAATGTTCGACTCTGTCGAAAGCCTTTTCGAAATCTATGAACAAACTATATAGAGGAATGTGGTATTCATTTGGTCGTTCAACATTCAACATTCACAGCGAACAGGGCTTCCTTCGTTCCCAGTGCATTTCTAAATCCAAATCGTGTGTCACTTATGTCCTGCTCCAGTTTGTTGTGTATTCTCCAGTGTATAATTTTTAAAAATATTTTGAGCGTAAGGCTTATTAAACTTATTATTCCGGTGGTCTTGACATTCTTTTGCATTTGCTTTTTTTGGTAGTGTTATGAATGTTGAAATCAGCCAATCTCTGGGAATGATTCCTGTACTGTATATTGTATTGAATAAGTCGACCAATATTCCAATTTGCTGGTCTTCTATGAACCGTATTCTGTCTACAAGTATTTCGTCAGGACCTGGTGCCTTGTTATTCTTTGTTCGCTTTATCATCTCTAATACCTCATGTTATTTCTGGGTCGTTGTCTAACTTTTCCTGCTTCAGTACTATCTCAGTCCGTTCGTCTATAAATAGCTCTGGAATATATTCCTGCCATCTTTTAAGCCTTTCACCGACGTCTATAATTATTTTGCCGTTTTTATCCAGCAGTATGTTTGATTTTTTCTTAATATTAGTGCCTGTTATTTCCCTAATTTCTTTATGAAGGTTTAAGTTATCATGTTTCTCTACCAACTGTTCAATCTCTTCGCATCTGTCACTATACCATCTTTCCTTTGCATCTCTGATCTGTCTCCTTATTTCTGTGTATATATTATTGTTTTGTCTAGTTTTATTTTTGTATTTCTCGATATAATTATGGATTTAAGAAGGAGATTTAGCCCAAAATAGCATCTGTTGGCGGTGCAAATTCTACGGTTTATCACTTAGATTTTTAGGTTAGACACACACCATTAGATATCATAAAATAATAGACACCATATACGCAAGAAACGGAAACTAACTAAAAGTTCAAACGGAAACGACTGAACTGACAGAATTTACAACTGTAATTAGAAAGGGGATTTATTGAGCTTACTTATATTTAATCTTATGTTATACACGGTTTTAAAACAAGTAAAAACAAAAGAATACTAAATGGGAAACAAACAAATAAAGATAATGTGCTACACCCACGATGCAGTTCTAATATCCGAGAATGAAGACGATTTTAACGAATGCTACACCAGTTTATTATCCAAGCCAAGGAATTTAACATGAAAATTTCGTCAAATAAAACGAAAAGCTTAGTAATATCAAAGGAACTGATAACTTCCTTAAATTTTCTAAGATTTAGCGACAAATGCGCATCCTCAGAAAAATAACTGAAAAAACATTACTAGGCAGAACAAGAAGTAATGATATTGGAGACCTATGTAGACTAAAGAATATTAGTGAATGGGAACAACGTAGAAAAAGACAATACATGACCTTTATCAGTCTAATGGTATTAAAATATAAAATTTGCAATAATACGTTTCATGGTTAAAAAAATTATTTTCTTAACTAAGTCGAAAACGTTTTTCTTTCGTCGAGAAATGAAACATCAGAAATTTAATTAAAATTTTTCTAACTTACCTTTATAAACTAATAAGGACTAATTTATGTAGCAATTTTCTCAATAAAGTACTCTCTCGATAAAGTTTTCTCTGTCCGTTGGGAGTTTATCGTCGTTTATTTAGAGCCCTTTTAAAACCGAGTTTCTCAGAAGTTCTATCGAACCGTATGAAATAATGACCTGATTTATCAAGTCTGAATACTGCTAAAAACAGTATATACATTTCTATAAAAACAAATTTCTAAAAAATTATCAGATATTTGGGATTTTTATACATAAGAGTAAGTTATAAGTTATAATATAGATACACAGTACCTGACGGAACTGTTTAAAGGAAAGGAAAATAACAATCAACACAATAACGTACCTGAATGAAGACACGAAATAGAAATCAGTTTACAGGAAGTAAAAATAGCCATAAATTTACTCAAAATAGAAAGTCATCAGGACCAGACGGAATAACCAACGATCTTTTAATACATGAGGGATAAAGTATAACCCTAGAGCTGACAAAAGTTATGCACAAACTAATATTGCACTGCAAGAAATTAGACGCATGTGGAAAGAGAATAATGATACCAATGTTCAAGAAAGGAAATAAAAAAGATGAGGAAAAGATGATGAAAAAGCAAAGAAAATTAAAAGATAGAAATGACAATGAATACAAAAAGTTGCATAAAACTATATAAAAGGAGATAAAACAAGCAAAAGAAGAACGGCTGACGGAGAAATATACGTAAATTGAAACACTACAATGCAAACATGACGATTTCCATATGCACAAAAAACTAGAGATACAGAACACCAGAAAACAACGCAATACAGGCATAGTTGTAGACACTGACGGGCAGATTTTGACTACCATTAAGATAAATTACAAAGATGGAAAAAATATGCAAGAATTATTCGAAGATGCAGCCGAAGTCCGACTGAAATAAACAATCTCTACGTCCCAGAAATCGCAACCAGGATTTAACGGAAATGCTAAGGTGACATATGACAGCTTTGATGGGCTGTCACAATCATGGATATGTGATATGAACATATTAAAATACTGTGTAAGTAAGCTGGCATTGACCAAAGGTCCAACTGACACTACTATAGAAAATCAGCTTATGAAATATGAAATATAGAATATTTTGATTTAACTAGATGGCATAATCCAGATGTCACACTCACGCCAGTCTGTAATAATAAGGTTGTAAGTTTGACAGCTGTTTAATGATTAAACTTGAGAGATCGCTGGTTAAATTGTATTGGATAAATAATTTTAACGAAAAAATGCAATATTAGATTGTATATAAGATTAGCGAAAATAGCGAATATTTGTAGCAAATATAATATGTAAAATAAAATGAATTCAAATAACAATTGGCAGATTTTATATCTTATTGTCAACCCTCTAGTCGATTTGGAGTAATATATACGTACTCCCTTTGTATATGATTAATCATTCTTCAAAAACTTTCGTCGTGTACGGAAGCAAGCGCCAAGCAGATCACTACCGCAGTGTATCTCATTCCTACCCCAGCAGGGCCCAACCATAGACAAAAGGTAAGTGAATCTCATATAGAATTGACAATAAGATATAAAATCTGCCAATTGTTATTTGAATTCATT